ACTATGTTAGCTAGCCAGTCGGGACACTTTACCTCCTGGATTGAACCGATATCGAGTAATCGAGTTACTTTTCCTTGACAAAATATTTTCTGACCTCGGCAATCAAACGCTTCTTTTACCTTACCAGAGGGATGCTGGGGTCCCGGCTTAACTTGTGTACGACCACCTTTAGTGGGATACCTGTCATATCTGCGTGTGACCATGCAAAACAATCAACATTAGTTTTAAGAAATTCTATAAATCCTGACCTGAGCTCCGGGTTTAATCCTGTCCCAAGTGAAACTTCTTCTCTAGGAACTTCTCGAATAATGAGATTTGTTCGAGTTCTTCCGTTGTGGATTAAGTTGCCTCAGTTTCTTTCGGTACCTAGAAATACCTTAGTACCTGACAGGATTCTGACGGCTCCTCCCCTTTGTCGACTTCGTTTGGTTCGGGAACGGGCGTCGGTTCCTGTAATTGCTATGCCGTGTATTCCTTCCCTTTATTGTCGGAAACCGAGATGGCATTCATCTCCCTTGCCGCCGGTTGATCTCCTCTTATTTATTTGATTCCCTCTAGAGTTGGGAATTTCAGAAGTTGGTGGTATGTTGATGGCACGACCTTTATCTCGTGTAGGCACGATCTGCCAAGAATTATGTTGTATCCCATGTCGCCATCCACTACTTCAAACCGAGTAGTCTTCATGACCCCTTCGGCGTTCGTGGGCAACAGGATCTCCCCTTGGGTTGTCACACTTGCCAAGTTGAACCCAGCGAGGAGCTTTGTAGCCGGAATGATGCTTTCGGTTAGCTTGGCTTGCGCCAACACTCTCCATTGGATGATATTGGGTGAACTTCCTGGGTCCACCAAACACGTTTAATTTTAAACTCCAAAATATTAAGAGAAATTACCAGGGCATCAATATGTGGTAGAAGAAGTCCATCGACGTCCTCCTCTGTGAAGGTGATATTGTCCTCGATGACTTCCCGGAGTCTCTCGCTGTGAGTCACCAATACCTTTGTCTTTTTTGCTATCGAAAAGGTTACACCATTAAGCTCGTTCCCCCGGAAATCATGTGGATCGTTAGTCAAGGAGGATCTTCTCCTATCTTCGAGTGCTCTACATTGTCCAGGTTGCGGCCGTAATTATTTTAATCTCGATCACTTAAGAACTCTCTGAAATGGCCGTTTTTAGCAAAGTTACCACCTCCTCGCACAGATGTTGGATATCTCTAGTCCGGTGGCTGTTAGTCCCATGATACTCACACCATAGATTAGGATCCCTCTGATTGAGATGGAATATCATCGGCCTTGGGAATCGTGCTTCCTTGATGTTCCTCATCGCCGATACCAGCTCCACTATGCTGATATTGAAATTGTACTCGAGCAGCCTGGGATAGGTGGAATCCCAGGAACCCAATATCTTTTTATCTTGTAATGACCTACTATTCCGGTCGCGGTTAGTTCTTCTAACTGGAGCGAACCTATCCGCCGACTGGAATCCTCTGCCTCATCCTTCGGCCTTTTCATAGGGCTAAAATCGGCCCTTAGAAGATCAATGATCTGCGTCAAAATCATCCTTCGACTTATCCTTATTCTTTTCTCGACCCGACCCTTGGTTGATGCGGCAAACCCGAGTTGATCATCTTCTATTCTTATTTTTGACTTGTACGGACATCTGCCCATGTAGTTGCCTAGAACTCGAGCAGGCTTTTTTCAGTTTTAGGGAGGCGTCGGAGCTCCTCGGGTTCAGCCCCTTAGTAAATGCCTCAGCTGCCCATTCATCTGGCACGGCCGGTAGCAACATCCTTTCCTTCTGAAACCTGGTCACGAACTCCCCTAACAATTCGGACTCTCCTTGCGCAATTCTGAATATGTCGGCTTTCTAGGCATGTACCTTCCTGGCCCCGGCATGGGCCTTGATGAAAGAATCCGTGAGCATCTCAAAGGAATCTATTGGGTGCTCGGGTAAAAGTGAATACCATGTCAGGTCCCCCTTCGTGAGGGTTTCCCCGAATTTCTCAGCAGGACCGACTCACTATTGTGTGAAGCTAAGTCATTTCCTTTCACCTCCATTGTATAGGTGGTGATGTTTTCCTGAGGATCCGAAGTCCCATCATATTTTGGTATGTTTGGAATTTTGAACCACTTCGGAATTAACTCTAGTATTGCACTCGGTTTGAACGGCAACTAGGTGTATTTCTTTGAGTCCGATCCCTTCAACAATGGCGGTGCGCCCAGAATTTTGTCCATTAGAGCGTTTATTTCCCTCACAAACCACATGAGCTCGGTCTTAAAGGGATCATTATCGTTGTTGTTACCAAATCCACTGTCAACCCCCCCTCCCCCCCGGCACCATCGAAGCCGACCTTACCCATTGAGTTATTGTTATCAACCCTTTGGCTGTTTGATTCGCGGGAGCACCGGGATAAACTCGACCTCTTCCATTTGCATTATTGGAAGCACCCGACAACGTGTCCCTCAATTCTGTCATAGCCTGGTCTTGCCGTGAGAGATAGCCCATAATAGCCTTTTGTTGTTCTCTCATGATCCTTACCGTTTCCGCAACATGCTCGTCTTCAGCGCATCAGGAGTCGCCTCCTGTACGTGTCGTGGAAATTGCCTGCCATGAACCGGCGTGGCTACATCCTCCTCATTGCGGGTATCACTGATCGAATTCTCGCGTTGAGGCGTATCTCGCATTTGCGGTTGAGGGGTATATCGCGTTTTCGACTTCTGCGCATCTGATGAACTAATCGCATTTGCGATCTGTGTGTTGTATTTGCGATAAAAGAGGGTGAAAACGGGAGTTAGCTCATTTTACACCATTTCTCAACCCCAAACACCCTAAAGGCAATTTTTGAAGAACTTTTTCTTCCCAAATTTATTGGTAAGTAACTCTAATCCATTTCCTATCAATCATGAGTTTTTAACATCAAATCTTTGAATTTTATGGTAGAAATTAGGGATTTTGGGTAATTTTTAGGGATTTGTTAAAATTGAGATTCAGACCTCATTGAGGTCGAATTTTGAAACAAATCACATAATAAGGCTTGGGGATTAATGGGTAATCGGGTTTTGATCTTGAATCTCGGATTTCGAACAAGCGGGGCCAGGGTTAACTCTTGTTGACTTTTTAAAAATGATGAATATTGAACATTTTTCATTTGTGGGTAATTTCTAAAGATTATTTTGAATTTTTTGATCTAATAATTGGCTAGATTCGGTTAGTTTGGAGGCTTGTTCGAAAGGCAAGGCATGGTTGGTTGATTGATTTTAGTTGCGGAGTGAGGTAAGTGTCATGTTTAACTTTGACATGAGGGAATTAGGACTAGTTGGTCTATTTGCTATGTGAACTACGTGTGGGGAAGACATATATGCAAGGTGACGACTATATATGCGTCGTCATGGGTTAAATCATGGGAGTGGAAATTGATATATTGTACCATGTTGCTTATTTTACCATGCCTTCTATGCTTTAGTTAGATTATTATTCTTTGATAGTTCACTTCGTGTTTATTGATTAATTTGAGGTTGTTGGGATATAAGAAGTTGAAATTGCGTATCATAATACCACGATTGAAGTTGAAATTGGTTTCCAACCTTGCTTGATACTTTGGATTATTGTTGTTGCTCCGTGAGGAAGAGTGAAAAGCATGAAGGCTGTTGCCGTGCCATAATTGCATATTGTTATCATTGAATGAGCGAATGTGAGGATTAAAGCACGAAGGGTGATGCTGTGTACTTGATTGCTTTATTATCATTATTATATCATGTGAGGATGAGAGTAAAACACGAAGGGTAATGTCGTGTCATTTCATTTATCATATCATTATCGTATCGTGAGGATGAGAGTAAAAGTATGAAGGGTGATGCCATACCATTGCATTTATCATATTACATGGTGAGGATGAGAGTAAAAGCACGAAAAGATGATGCCTTGCCGTTTGATGATTTCATTACCTTACTTGATTTCCGGATTTATATTTGGCTGCAGTTTTGTTCATTTCGGAAACATGCTACTTGGTGATTTTGTACTTGTCATTCTTATCTTACTCCCGTCTTACATGTTACCTCTCTGTTTATATTTAAATGCTCTACTTGTTATTTCTATTACTTTATCTATATGTCTGCACATGTTTTAGTATGTGTTTTGTCATAGCCTCGTCACTAACTCGTCGGGGTTAGGCTTGACACTTACTGAGTACATAGAGTTGGTTGTACTCATGCTACACTTCTGCACTTCTTATGCAGATTCTGGTGTTTGGTCTCAGCGGTGTCTAGTGTTGGTTCTAGTCGGATCATTTCTACATCTAAAGACTTGAGGTAGACTTGCACGGTGATCGCAGTCTCTGGAGTCCCCTTTCTTACCTACCTTTACTATTTTATTTTGGATCCGAACAGTTGAATTTTATTCAAGACATTGGTCGTAGAAATTCTAGTATGCACATGTACTTGTGACACCAGATTCCAAATTTTGGCTAGTCGGTGTTGGATTTATTGTATTTACTTTGAAATTTTACAGCTTTATTTCTTATTATAATGCTTTCAATTGTCTAAAAATGATTAGTTGTGTATTAATGTTGGCTTGCCTAGCAAGTAGACGTTGGACGCCATCATAACATTGTGGTTGATATTTCGGGTCGTGACACTTCCAACATAAGCCTTTGTTTATTTGAACTTTTGGAATATCATGCTCACTTGGCGGCAGACAAAATAATAGTTTCTCTCCCTAACTGTTGGTAGGACTAGTTTCGCGCACAATATCTATCAATGGAATATAGACTTTCAAAAGGTTCATCTAATTGTCTTTTTTTTTTAAAAGTCCCCTCAATTGATTTGGGATTAATCAGCAGCCACGGTGATATATTATCATAAATCTCAATCCCTTTTTAAAGTGAAGGCCACATTGTTTGAATTTGCGAAGTCTCTACTCAGTGAATCTAAATTAAATAATGTGAAGCTTTTGGACAAAGTAAAGGAGAACAACACGGAAGAATAAAGCTATAGATTTAAGACACTAGTGAAATAACTGCAAATAATCGTTCATAAAATGTAACATACTAACCTAAAAAATAAAGTAAGTTAAATGTTAAAATCCATTGAAAATGTTTTTTAAAAAAAAATTGAAGTCAAATCAAAACTTGAAAAAGCCAAGGAGGATTATTCAATCTACTCTCTCTATACTGCTGTTCAACATTTGGATTAGAGATGGTCATGAAATTATGAAGTCTCCATTTATGGCCAGTTACAACATCCCTCTGTTGATTCAAACCTGAAGTTTTCTGCTTTAAATGGCTAGGGGATCCTGTAGAGGAAGGGCCTAAAGTTAACTCAATCTTGCTTTCATCTTCATTAACATCTTGCTGGCTACTTGAGATGGTTTTCATCAATATTTTTTGGATATGATATAGACGATGAAGTTCGTAAACCTGTAATATTCAGAGATAAAATAGTGTAAGTGGCACGAGTAAGTAGACTCATTGTACAAATAATTATTCTAATTTTAGAAGCCTAATTCAAGATTACTTGAACAGGAATAATGTCGACAATTAAGATACACCAACACCACTACTTAATTAGCTTAGAGGTGGGAAAGGAGGTCAGAACCTAAAAATTAATTAGTTACTATATTTTTACGTATGACACGAGAAATGACTCACTCTATAATTAGGCATGGTGTAAATTTGAGGAATCTCATTCAGATTACTTTAGCAAGAGTGATTGTAAAAGATTCGACGCCTATTATGTTACATTTTTGTTTTGATCCCAGATCAGAACTAGAGATCTTAATTCTCACACTAAAGGAAATATTGTGTTAAGATATGAAAAAGTATATTTTTTTTACCTGTTCTCTAAAGGTTTCCTCGTGCTTTACCATGGCCATTTTCATGTATTCTTTATCGTATGGATTGAGTAGCTTCTCCATGGCTGAAAGTTGCCTTTGAGTTTTCCAATTGCTTGAAACAGAAGAAACTTGGGATAAGAAGAAGATATGTTTTTCTTATTTAGTTCGAGATCTTCTGAATTTGGGAAGTGCTGCCTCTTCTATTCCAGGGTTTTGACACAGTTACCCACAAAAACAAAACTATTTACCCTTGTCTACCCATTTGTTTTTCTACCGATAAACTAATTACATTTCCAACAAATAGTAGGTTTTGTGGGGAATTTTTTCTTTATTCTCCAATTCTTTTTTATTTCTATGCTCCTTTTTTTTCTTTTTTTTTTTTCTTTTCTCCTTTTCTTTTTTCTCATTTTCTTCTTATTTTTTCCTTTTTTCCTTTTCTAATTTCATTTTACTTCTTTTTTTTTATATTCTTTTTCTCTTCATAATCTAATTTCATTTACTGTTTTCACTATCTTTTATTATTCTTTTTTTTTTTAAATTATTACTAAAGAAAAATCAAATTGTGTACCAATTAAATGTAGCTAATACAACCAAAAAAAATATTAACTAACATATGATACCAGTATAGTATATAGCTATACCAACAGGATATAGAATTGTACGTAAAGAGTTAAAATTTTTAATTCAATTATTAAACTGAAATAATATCAGTTGTCAATAAAAATTTCAAAAAATTCTAAAAGAATCTAATTGTAAGACTATACCGTTACATTATATATCATACTATAATATTTTTTTTTTGCATTTTTAATTTGTCCCTCACGCTGGGTAAAAGCTTAAAGCAAATTAAAAGGGAAAAGGCAAGTGAATTTACGTGTAATAAGTATACTATTATAGTATATTGTATATTATTACAACATACTGTACAGTATATTGCATATTATTACAGTATATATATTGTATACTATAATAGTATACTGTTGCAGTATAACTATATACTCCTATAGTATATTGTATACTGTAACGGTATACTGTTAGGTAACTGTGTTCTTCTTTGATTATTACAATATATCGTTGCAGTATATTGTAAACTATAATATTATACCAAAATGGTATATTTGTATATTGGGTATGCAATACAAATTCGTTATTTCCCTTGTTCAACTATATTTCAACCCAAATTTCTAAAATCTGCTACAAAATCTTCACCAAATTGACTAAAACTTTAGCTACAACCTCCAATCAAACTTTCCAAACAAAATCATGCAGGATCGAATCAAAACAATTAAAAACTCAAACAAACCAAGTTATGAGTTTCAAGCTTCAAGTTCCTTCAATGGTGGATTTAAATTTTTGTACAATAAATCTCCAAAAACCAGCATCAAAGATACAATCGACACATCAAAGAGCAATAACTAACGAATTTCAACAGTAAAACACCATAAAAAATCAGATCTGGCATTTTGAACTTATGGGTTAACAATAAAAATTGATATGTTCTTCCTATGATCTAGTTTTTGAATTGTGCCCTGTACTTTAGTGTTGGAAACTTGTTTTTGCGGGTCGACCCGATTGATGGGTGGATACTATATCAGCTCAGTTTCAACAGGGAATTAGGAAAACAAGAATAATATGAATAATGGGGATTTTATTACGCACGAGGAAGCGAAAAGGCTGATGAGATTGGTGAATGTTGAGGAGCTGAAGTGGAAATTAGATATGGAGAATACTGAGGCTATTGGATACAGTAAGCTGTTTAAAGCTTGTGAAAAAATGGATGTGGCTAAAACGCGTGATAAGCGAGTAAATAGTTTGGAACGCATGGGTAGGAGTAGTAAATAGTTTGGACCTGGACATTAAAGGGTAAATAATTTGAAATTAATGGGTATAAAGTGAGATCTTCTCTTCTATTCCTCTACCCTGAGAAATACAGGAGAAAAGGGATAACTTTATTTAATAGGTAAAGGAAATTAACTTAAATATGTCTAAGGCCTCGTTTGTTTGCACTTAATGGAGGTCTGAATCTTGATCATCCAGATCTCAGACATTAAGTGCGTTTGTTTTTAATGTCTGAATTTTAATTATTCAGATCTTAATCATTAAGTGTGTTTTTTTTACTTCACAACAACTTAATGGGTCTGAATAGGTTTGTAAGATTAAGATCCATAACAGAGACTTAATTTCATTAAGATGTCATCATCCATATTCGGTATTAATTGTCGCCACCGCCTACTATTATCAACTAGCACCACCACCACCACCATACTCAACCACCACCCCCACCCCCATCATCCTCAATCATAGCCTCCACCATAATCGACTACCAGCACTCACCATCCGCACCACTCCCACCACCATCATTCTCAACCACAAACAACACTCATCCACCTCAACTACCACAACTAACTGCCCCATCACCATCAACAACCATAACCGACACTTCACATCATTATTAACTACCACCAGCCACCACCACCTTCCTCAATCACAACTACCACCACCATCTGCCATTATTAACTATCACCACTCACCACCACCATCCGCACCACTCCCACCACCATCATTCTCAACCACAAACAACACTCATCCACCTCAACTACCACAACTAACAGCCCCATCACCATCAACAACCATAACCGACACTGCACATCATTATTAACTACCACCAGCCACCACCACCTTCCTCAATCACAACTACCACCACCATCTGCCATTATTAACTATCACCACTCACCACCACCATCCTCAATCATAATTGCCACCATTACTAATCACCACTAGTTAGTACCCTAACCTCAACCATCAACCAAATCTACCACCAACCACCGTCTCTAGTCGGCATTCACAAGCGCCACCGTTAGCCCTCACCACCAGCAACTATCATATTTTTAAAAAATTATATATTTTATTGATAGAATATTAGATTAATTAGTATTTCATTTGAATTTTATGTTTATTAATTTTCAAATAAAATAATTTTTATACATTCAGATGTTAAAAATCAAACAATCTTAATCATTTAGTATTTAGATCTTAATACATATCTTAATATTCAGATGCGTATTCGGATTCAGATGTCTTAATCTTCATACACATCTTGATATTCAGGTGTGTATTCAGGTTCAGACGTCTTAATCTTAAAAAAAACAAATGAGGCCTAAGAATGCCACGGAAAATACAACCCCTCTTATTTTGTATTCTAGTTTAAATTTTATGCACGAATAGTATTAAAAAATATATAATTGAATATTTATGATCATGGCCAGATGTAGCTGTTCGGCTATGGTTCAATTGAACCCATAAATTTTGAAATAAAGTATGTATTTATATGAAAAAATCTACTAAAATTTCAAAAAATATTAACTTTGAACCCATAATTTTAATAATACAATGAGTTTAATGTTAAAAAACTTAAAAATTGAACCCGTTAAAATTAAATCCCGAATCTACCTCTGTTAAAAATTATAATAGAAAACAACTAACACGAGAAAACAACAATAAAACAAAAAGATCTTTACCTCTTAAAGACGAGACAAAATGCTATTCTGGATCAAAGAGTAAGAAAGAGGAGGAATACGAGAAATAGAAGATGAAGAAGGTAAAATGAGACTTTCTATTTGTTTGTTTGATCGAGCAACACCCACCTTCTACTTCACCTTCCCTGTTTATATATTGCCGAAGTGGCTCGAAGATAGAAATTAAAAAAAATACTCCTTCATTTTCAGCGGTGCTATTTCCTTATTAATTAGTTCGCTTTTAAAAGAATGATATATTTTTATATTTGGAAACTTTAAACTTTCTATTTTGCCAAATTTATGACATGTTGAACACTATTTAATTTTTGAAAATCTTACTATCTTTGTTAAATTCATATCGAATCAAACTATGTTACAAAAATTGGAATGCAGGAATATATGAAGAGAGAAAAAAATAAAAAAGCATTGATAAGAATGCTGAGGAAGAATTTAAGATTCTGAGCTTACACACGGAAATCAAAGCAAACACTGCTGCATTTTGGGGTTTGAGAAAAATAGCTAGGGACTAGCTAAGCAATAGGCAATTATAGACAGGCCGAACAAATACCATGCGTCATTCGTCTATGTGGTTCGAGCTTTGTGAAAGAGATGCCCAGACAACTCTAGCAGCGCACGATGTATTAAAATAATAGAGTACTCCCTCCGATTCACAATAAGTGTTCAATTTACTTTTTTATTTTGGTTCAAAATAAGTGTCCAGTTATGTAATCAAGAAATAATTTAATTTGTTTTTACAAAATAGCCCCTATGTACATATCCCTAAAAAGTTTTCTTACTCCTCACGTTAAATGTTTAATTAGGGGTAGTTTAGTCATAATAGGTATTTTTGTATAGAATTTAATACTTTCTTAATGGGCGTGCTAAAAGCAAATTGAACACTTATTGTGAACTAGAGAGAGTATTAATCAAGATTCCAAGAATACAACAACTACTAACAATAATATCATCGATTATAAACACGCAAGAGAAAATCCAGAATTTAGATCACGCAATAAGTTTTGAATTGAGAGAATGAGTTCTAAAATATATATATTTATGTTAGATAGTTTGTAGTACTAATATATATGTAGTGGAATTGTCCCGCCAATGTGTGTACCCTCAAAATCGGATAACAATTGAATTTTGTAAGTACTTTAAAGGATACGCGGATTGATTTGACACAAAGCTATAAATTGGATTAGATTCAAACCATGCAAATAAGACAGTTTCAGCCTTAGTAAAATTGCTCACCCTCGATCCGGGCTTGCTATAGTCAACACTGATGAACAAGTGAAAAAAGCTAAATAACAGAGAAAATAATAATATATTGCCTTGGAACGCGTGTTTCAATGTGTTACATGAATTATCAGACCCCCATTTATATAGTAGGGGAATCCAACTTTAGGTACAACTCTATAAAAAGTATAAAATCTTTGAATTAAATGATTGTCGGTGCCTTATCGATACGTCCCGAGATCCTCGCCGTGATATCCGGCCGGCCACGCATATTTCGGCCTTCTGTTGGCTATGCTTGATCGTCCGATAATGTTCCTCGGAGTCGTTCGAGGCTAGAACCGATTTTGGAAGTATAACATCGATATTTCGAGGGCAGTCGTTATGTCCCCGGGCTCTAGCTCGATGGGACTTTCGGCTCGATTTTGGTCCCTTGCCATCACATCTAGAGCCTGGCTTCTTTTGTCAGAAATTGAGGTGCATCATAGGCTCGGTTTTA